CTGTGGGGGGTGGGCAGGCGGGAGGCATCAGCTGAGACACCCCCCTGAGGGAAGCGGAGGCCCCCTGCCCAGGCAGCAGGGCTGGAGAGGGACGAGCCCAGGACCTGAGTGCAGTTGCCCCTGTGCTGGGAGACGTCCTGGTCTCCCTCGGCCTGGGCCTCACTATGGTTCTCGATGAGACCTGGATCTCGCTCCTGCTGATGGCTGCCGCTATGATGTTGGGACGCCTTATGCACACCCGGCGCCCTCGCCCTCGCACCTTTCTCCTGGAGATGTTTGCCACTTTCCAAATCTGTGCCTGCACCAATGAGCTCCGGCTGCTGGCCAATGTACAGCCCAAGCCGCATGTTGCCCTCACCCTCACCTATGTTTTTACCGTCCTGCATGGCTTGACTCTGACAGGCAGTACATGCAATCCCTGTGGCACCCTGCAACAAATCTTGGATAGTGGGGTTTCAGTCAAGCAGGGCGGGCTGAAGATTGGAGCTCAGTTCACTGGTGCAGTGCTAGCTAGAATTTACGTCCATCGCATCTGGTCCATGGGGATCATCCAGGTGCACTCTGAGGCACTGGCTGAGGGCTGCAGTAATCCCATCCAAACCACGGAGACCCAGGCTTTTTGCATAGAGCTGCTCTTCTCTACTGCGTTCCAGCTGACCATACTGCAAATCGAGTCAGTTAAACCCAGGCTCAGAGTCCACCTGATTGCTCTTCTCATTACTATGCTGGTGTATGGAGGTTAGTTACCTTTTTTTCTCCATGATTGTTTCAAGTTCTAGATATTTTTTAATTAAGTGATGTTTTAAAATATGTGTGCATGCAAACTTGTTTCCATAGTGCTGTTGCTGTGCTATACAGCTGATAAAACACACTGGACAAAGACCTTAATCCAGTAAACTGAAAAAGATGGGGAGACTTCATTTGGACTCTGTATAGATGTAAAAGTCTACCTGCATGGATCCCATTGCAGCATTGGGCCTATTAATGAAAAGAAATAAAAATCTCTGTTCTAAATATTTTGTCTTAAAAAATGGGTAAAACTAAGTGTAAAGAGTTTCTCCAGATGGATCTTTTAAATATCTTACTGAAATACAAAGAAAAATCTTTTCATAATATAACTTTATATTGCATGACCTCTTTCATAAAACTTGTGTTGCCAAATGCTGTAAAGCAGGTTTTGCACCAGCGTGACTTAATTAGGCATATTACACTGAAATCTCAGGTAAACCGAGACTAGAATCCTGTAAATCTGTGGATATCTGTTGACCATATTAGTGGATTGATTAGCTGTGGATACAAATTTTGTAATCATGACCTGGAACAATGTCTCTCAAATGTATGCAGTAGTATTAATTGGCAATCAATTAATTCAAGTTACAGTGCAACCAGCAACTCTAGTCTAAAGAAGACCAGGAAGACTGGAAAAAAATCCATGACGATTTGCAGAAACAAGCTTAGCAATTTTCAATGACATTCTTAAGTGAAGTTTTGAAGACAAAGGCTAAAGATTTAGAAGAGGCGTGCACACTGTATTATTGTATCCTGACAGCATAAAATAGAACACAAGATTTCTGGTTACTAACAGACCTCTGTAATTTAGCAAATATATATGTAAGCCAAAGTCTGTGTCATGTCACACCCCCCCACTGACTGGTCCTCATAGAGCAGTGGTTCTTAAACTGCGGTTTAAGGCTCACCACGCCCCCTTGCAGCGGGGAGCCTGCACTGGTGCTCCAGTCTCCCCGCCCCAACCTTCCCCTGCAAGGTGGGAGCACCAGTGCCCGCTTCCCACTGTGTGTGCATGTGAAGGAGACAGCACTGAGCCTCGTCACCGGATTTAGCTTGTGGGGGGGAGCAAGTGGTTCTGTGCGCTGCAGCTCTCCCCTGCCTGCAGCTGGGGGAAAGGCGGCACAGGGAAGTGCTGCCTGGAAGCGTTCCCTGCTGCTCCTGTTATTCCGAATTACAGCCAATGGGAGCAGCGGGAGGTGGTGCCTGTGAGCGGTGTGGGCACAAAGCCATGTAGGCATACCCCCAACCCGCTCCTGCACCTTCCCTCCCTTCCAAACTCCCCCACCCTCAACCCGCTCCTATACCCTCACTGCTGGCCAGGCACCCCACTTCCAGCCCGCTCCTATACCCTACCTCTCACTGAGAACCCTCCTCCCTCACATTTCCTAAATTCCCATCCTGAGCCCCTCTTGCACACAGAACCCCTCATTTTTGGCCCAACCCCAGAGCCTACGGAGGCTCACAAAATCTATTAACCCTGGCACCCCAGAAGAGTTAATCTGGCCTGTGGAAAGCTCTGAAACTTATTCCTCCCTACCCCCCTCCCTTCCTTTGGGACTGGAGCATCAGGGCAGTGAGGTGAATCAGCTGGGGGTCCATCAGTGAGGGTTGGATTTTTTAGAGGGAGGGAAGGTGCAGGAGTGGGTTGTGTGGCCCCTACTGATTTTTCTGAGAGTCAGTGGCCTCTGACCCAAAAAAGGTTCCCCGCCCCTGCCATAAACCAAGACAACGTTGAAACCTTTGGTTTTGGACATAAACTAAAATATTAATTTATTTAAAATGAAGTTTGGTAAACTAACGTGATAAAGTGCTTAATCTGTTTCATTATTCGTGCGTGGTTGGCTGGTGGTCCATGGAAAGGTTTGCATTGAGCGGGGTGGGCCATGGACCAAGAAGTTTGAGAAGCACTATCATAGAGCAGTGGTTCTTAAAGTGTGGTCCAGACTTTGTGATAAAGTGTGGTACTCTCTCCTTACCCCCAACGCAGCTGGGAACCCCTGCTGGCACTCCAACCCCGCACCTCTCCTCCACCAGGTTGGAGCACTATCGCAGGCTTCCCACTGTGAGGGGAAGGAGAGCCTTGTGGGCCAGATCTGGGTTACGGGGAAAGGAAGTGACTCCCAGTGCTGCCACTCCTCCTTCCCCCAATTGGAGGAATGGTAGCGTTGGAAATGGCTTACCTGAAAGCTTTCCCTGCTGCTCCCATTGGTTGGAATCACAGCTAGTGGGAGTTGTAGTGCCTGGGAGCAGGGAGAGACACAGAGCAAAGTAAATGGCCCCCTCTCCCCTCCCACTGAGACCTCATGCCGTCACCCCACTCCTACACCCTCACTCCCAGACCAGCCTCCCCCCAGCCTGCTCCTGCACCCAACCTCCCAGCCAGACACCCTCCAGTCTCAGCTCACTCCTGCACCCTACCTCCTGGCCAGATCCTACCTCCCAGGGAAGTAAGCGATTAGTTGAGTAGTCAACTACCTGATCAGCATAGGCTGGCTTAAAAAGCCAGCTCCCCCAGCGGTGTGGGGGGAGCTACAGTAATCCCGGAGCCGGTGCAAGCTGGACTTGCTTAGTCCTAGCTCGTGCCAGCCCTGGGAGCTAACCCCGCTGCGGCTCTGTACTTTAATGTAGTAAAAGCCCAGAAGGCTCTTAGGGTATGTCTAGACTACATGGCTCCATTGACGGAGCCATGTAGATGAGTTTACTAGACAGAGAAAAGGCCACTTTTTTTCCAAACCCCTGTAGTCTAGACAACCTTAGGGTATGTCTAGACTACATGCCTCTGTCATCAGAGGCATATAGATTAGGCTACCCGGCATAGGGAAATGAAGCCGTGATTTAAATAATCCCGGCTTCATTTAAATTAAAATGGCTGCCACGCTCTGCCAACCAGCTGATGATCAGCTGTTTGTTGGCAGATCGGGGCAGTCTGGACACGCCGCGGTTGACAAGGAAGCCCTCTTGATTGGCACAGGTATGCCTCGTGAAACCAGGTTTACTTGTGCCGATCAAGAAAGGCTTCTTTGTCGGCGCGTCGCGTCCAGACCGCCCCGATCTGCCGACAAACAGATGATCATCAGCTGGTCGGCAGAGCGCGGCAGCCATTTACATTTAAATGAAGCAGCGAGGCAGTCTGGATGCCCCGCGGTCGACAACAGAAGCCTTTGTCGACCGCTCCAATAAACCTCATTCCACGAGGCATAACGGAGTGGTCGACAAAGGCTTCCGTTGTTGACCGCGGAGCGTCTAGGCTGCCCCGCTGTGCTGCCAAACAGGTGATCGGCACAGCGCGGCAGCCATTTTGATGTAAATGAAGCGGCAATTATTTAAATCACTGCTTCATTTTCCTATGTCTAGTAAACTCATCTACATGGCTCCGTCGACGGAGCCATGCAGTCTAGACATACCCTTATTGTATTTAAAGTATAGAGCCATAGCAGTCCCAGAGGACTCATACTGCCCCCAGGAGCTAACTGGGGATTATGTTGCCAAGTCATATTATGAGGCTAGGCAATGCTCAAATAAACATTCATGGAAAATGATAGCCCACAGGATTGTCAATAGGTAAGGCCACATTTTTGTCAGGGAAGTCTAAGACTTTGTGATTTCCAGGCTTACAAAAATATTTTTTTACACTTGGGAATTTTGGCAGACGATAACGAACAGTTAAACAAGTTTCACTGAGAACTTTGTGAGCTCAGGTATGTGGGCAATAAAAGCGGGGCTAACATGTCTGTGCTAATTTTTTTTTCTGAAAAATTTCCCAACTGGTACAAATTCATCTTTGGTATCAATGGTGGTAATACTACTATCCATGGAAAAATGCAGATGGACTGTCTCTATTTTTTCTTCATTGGCACTCCTACCACAGTAATAGAATCATAGAACCATAGAGCTGGAAGAGACCTCAGAAGGTCATCAAGACCAGCCCCCTGCTCTAGGCAAGACCAATCCCAACTAAATCAACCCGGCCAGGGCTTTGTCAAGCCAAGACTTAAACACCTCTTGGGATGGAGACTCCATTATTTCCCTAGGTAATCCATTCCAGAGCTTCACTACCCTCCTAGTGAAATAGTTTTTCCTAATATCCAACCTGGACCTCTCCCACCATAACTTGAGACCATTGCTCCTTGTTCTGCCATCTGTCACTACTGAGAACAGCCTCTCTCCATCCTCTTTGTAATCTCCCTTCAGGAAGTTGAAGGCTGCTATCAAATCCGCCCTCACTCTTCGCTTCTGCAGACTAAACAGACCCAACTCCCTCAGCCTCTCCTCATAAGTCATATGCTCCAGCCCCCTAATCATTTTGGTTGCCCTCTGCTGGACCCTCTCCAATGCGTCCACATCCTTTTTGTAATGGGGGACCCAAAACTGGACACAATACTCCATCCAGATGTGACCTCACCAGAGCTGTATAAAGGGGTATAATGACATCTCTGGATCTGCTGGCAATGCTCCTCTTAATGCAACCTAATATGCCATTAGCCTTCTTGGCTACAAGGGCAAACTGTTGACTCATATCCACCTTCTCATCCACTGTAACTCCCAGGTCCTTTTCTGCAGAACTACTACTTAGCTGGTTG